AAACCTATGCCAACGGACATCGACTTCATGGCGGATGTGAACAGAGGGCCGACAGACGGGTCGTTTCCGCTCAGCGTTAGACAGATTCCCAACAAAAGGGAATTTTCCAAAAACATTGTCGAATAGAAGGCAATCATTCGGTTCCGGGAATTGTCCTAAAATATATCGGGAAATATGTATAGTTAATAATTCACCGGATATTGTATGCATAATATAACTAATAATATGTTAATATATGGTAAATATTCAGGTGTTATAAATTATAATAGCTTTATCTATACTCTTATTATGTGTCTACTAATGAAATCAGTTATAAAGTTAAACAATAAAACTAGGATTTAAATCGTTGTGATTTTATTGTTTTTTTTTAATATTCAGGTGTTATAAATTATAATAGCTTTATTTATACTCTTATTGTGTGTCTACTAATGAAATCAGTTATAAAGTTAAACAATAAAACTAGGATTTAAATCGTTGTGATTTTATTGTTTTTTTTTCTGTGGCTAAGTATTTATGATATTAATGTATGAAATGCTTTATTATTGTTATTTCCTTATGGATGGGAGGGTAGGGTTGAGTGAACGGACCGGTGCTTATGTTAAATCAAATGCCTGTATATGTGTTATACCTAGTGTTGTCACGAATGTAACTTACATATCTTACAGACGTAATTTACAGTAAATTACACGTAAATTACAGCAAAATCTGAATCGTACATGTAACTTACAACATACTCTTACGTGTTATTTTGCCAACTAATGTTTTAATTAAGACAAAATTTAATTTTTATAACTCAGATAACAATTTTTAAGATATAATTAATATTTTATTTGTTTGAATAGAATTTATCGTTAACTAATAGCTAATTAACGCTAATATTACTTATTAATTATTTAGTTATAAATTGAATTTTACGGAATCTGACGGTAAATTACGTAATATTACATGTAACGTAAGATTGAAATGAATATTACGTGTAAAATAACATCACTAGTTATACCTCTTGCATATTAATGTAGCAGAATATGTAAACCCATGCGATGAGCGATGAATAGCACATCCGTCTCAACGACGACATCTGTTCGCCGTAGAAGAGATTCTTCGGCGACAACAGCCATAAGAACATCGAAAACCAGTGAAGAATGATCACCGCGAAGATCCAGTGGCCGTAGAAAGTGGCGTAAACGGTGAGTGCGATCACTCGGGAACCAATAGTTCTGTTGTCGTTGTTGTATATGTATGTATGGGTGGAAACAGAATTTTTAAACAGATGTAATAAATTAAATATTAAATCACTTCAATGGCTATGAATTATGGCATAAAATGAAATAAGTTTTCAGAGAAAAAATAGATTTTTTCTTATTTAAGTTTAGTCTCTATTAAATCATTTCATGGATTTTGTGGGTTATTTTTATACATGAAATACTCGTATAAATCAGTGAAATATTATTCAAATAATGTTTTTTGTTTGTTTGCGAATGCATTTGAAGTGCATATGAATAATGTGTTTGATTTGGACTGAGAGATGAGGGAAAAGAAAATTTTTCTCTCATTAATGTTTGTCAATGCATTTCAGACTCCCTTTTAATAGACTTTCCATTAAAACCTAAACATTAAGTAAATGTCAGAAAAATGTTTGGAGAAGTACTCATATAATGTGGATATACGTTGAAATCTCACTGAATTTATCCCAAATTGATGTGAATAAGTGAGTGAATGAATGAGAGAGAGAGAGAGAGAGAGAGAGAGAGAGAGAACGAGGTTTTAGGGTTTGTTGGAAAACTACTCTATTTATTGGGTATAAACTAATATCGATTGAAAATGCATTACAATTTGAATGCATATATAAAAAGTTGAGTTTTTATATACCGATATCTATCCCCATATATTCAATGTATGCATTCATTATTCACACACAAAATGTAACCAAATTTAAAATTCTTGTGCGAAATATATTCTGTTTGGCTATTATTCTCGATATTTATATTCTGGTGCCTGAAGTATGTCTGGGACTGTGTTCTACAGTATATGTGCTGAATATTATTGTATTCACTGCCTGTATATATAATGTATGTGTTTGTGATAATAATTGAAATATAAAATATGAAATATCAGAGAATTGCATCTCTGTTTGGGAACCAGTGATGCATTTCTAGGCTTATATCGAGGGAGAGAGAGAGAGAGAGAGAGAGAGAGAGAGAGAGAATTCTGATCCTAAGAGAGAAGTTTGATTTCTATTAAAAACGAAAACTCATTTTTATGACATAAAAATATATCGACTTTTATATGCCATACAATGCATTATTACTGTATATTTCATATGATTTACTGTNGAGAGAGAGAGAGAGAGAGAATTCTGATCCTAAGAGAGAAGTTTGATTTCTATTAAAAACGAAAACTCATTTTTATGACATAAAAATATATCGACTTTTATATGCCATACAATGCATTATTACTGTATATTTCATATGATTTACTGTCTATTTTTAGGCATAGTTTTCAACATTAAACGAGACTTTATTTTCCAAATTCATGATTAAAATCATATTAAATAGGCTTTCGATGAGAAGCCAACTGATCCCTTGGATTATTCAATCATTCAAATTGGCCAGAAATAGGACACAGAATACAAATACTATCTATAATTTAATATTAACCATACGGTAGTCTATACAGTGATCATTAGGCGTCTGTGTGTTATCTCTATGGGAATGTGTTGTGAATATTCGACGGATTCATTATATTTGAGATTTAAATATAATATTTCAATCTCTCTTTGCGTGCGATTATCAGTCATCACATATTTTGTCCAATTTTCTTGTCAATCGAAAGTAATGACAGATTTTTTGGTGATATATATTTGCGATCCTATTCTCTAAAGAGTTTGAACGCAGAGAGAGAGAGAGAGAGAGAGAGAGAGAGTATTCTGATCCTAAGAGAGAAGTTTGATTTCTATTAAAAACGAAAACTCATTTTTATGACATAAAAATATATCGACTTTTATATGCCATACAATGCATTATTACTGTATATTTCATATGATTTACTGTTTATTTTTAGGCATAGTTTTCAACATTAAACGAGACTTTATTTTCAAAATTCATGATTAAAATCATATTAAATAGGCTTTCGCTGAGAAGCCAACTGATCCCTTGGATTATTCAATCATTCAAATTGGCCAGAAATAGGACACAGAATACAAATACTATCTATAATTTAATATTAACCATACGGTAGTCGTCTATACAATGATCATTAGGCTTCGGTGTGTGTTATCTCTATGGGAATGTGTTGTGAATATTCGACGGAATCATTATATTTGAGATTTAAATATAATATTTCAATCTCTCTTTGCGTGCGATTATCAGTCATCAGATATTTTGTCCCATTTTCTTGTCAATCGAAAGTAATGACAGATTTTTTGGTGATATATATATTTGCGATCCTATTCTCTAAAGAGTTTGGACGCAGAGAGAGAGAGAGAGAGAGAGAGAGAGAGAGAGACCATCATTTGGGATGTGATATTTGGTGCACTGACGACAAGACAGGCGTACAGAATATGAGAGAATAATTTATTACTTATTGGTATTTATCTCGAAGACAAACATTAATCTGAATGACAAACAAAAAGGAGATCACAAAACAAAGTACAGGAATAAGAGAAAGCAAAGAAAGCCAAGACATGTATGGAGACAATCATAACCAAAATGAATGAATGAGTGATTGAATGGACAGAACAAACCCCAATCGCCAGAAGAACTGGAAGATGACTCCTAACCACGTGAGCACCAGTTTATGGATGTTATGCTGGCGTACATTCTTACTGAATGAGGCCAATGCCCAGCACAGGCTGAATAGCGACAGGAATATCGATATGTAGTGGAGGTCCGAGTTCTGGTCATTCGTCGGTGTCTTCACCCATAATAAGTAGACCTATGGATAGACAGACAGACATACCATTAATACTGGATTTAACAAAACAGCCCTAAGACTAATGTCTTGAGCAAACAAACAGCCACTGACTTGAATGGTAAGCATCGGCGCCGCCTCACAGAAGGCGTGAACCATACGTAGAAGACACAGGTCTCGGACCTCGTGTTTCACGGACGACAAGTCGACGGGTATGAAGAGTTTGAAGTAACGCCAGAGCACTCCGCACAGGAACAGGTGGACAGTGAATACGCTTACGCTTTGACAGTGAGACTCGTCGTCATCGCCGGTAACACTGTTGCCGCCGCCGGACAACTGTTTGCCACGACGTTTGCGACGATACCATCGATAGGACAGCGCTTGACTGACCAGTGCTGAGAACAGTATGAGTCCCGCTGTCACTGACAGCCACTGGAAGTCCTGTTCGAGGTATAGAGTATATGCGGTGATCGCATCGAAGACAACGTCACAGAAATACGCGGCCAATGATATGATATTGAAGAGTAGGTCGCAAAGCGGCAGAAACTCTTCGGTCTGCGCGAAGAGCTGGTCGTGGAGGTGATGATAGTATGGTTGTTGAGGTATTTGCTGGTCATTAGATGTGTGACAGTGATTGTTGTGGTGATGATTGTGATGTGAATGCGATGACAACGAGTCGGTCAGATATGGGGGCAGAAGTGGACCGTTAGTAGAGGGAGGGGTTGGCGGCGATTGGGACGAGTGGGGCGACGCCGGCACCGATCCTACACCCGGTGTCGTACCGTTGACTGTAGCGGCCGGCGCTGTGGGCAGTCCCGGCGGTTGCGGCGATTGGCAATGATTGTAATGGGAGGTCAACGTGTTGTAGTGGTTGTCGGTCGGGCACTGGTATGTGTTGTTACCGCCGTTGGCCAGCGATGGCTCCATATAGATGTTGGACTCGCCGCCCATCGTATTCATGGTGTTCATAGGGCTGTTGGCACCGCCGCCTCCGCCCACACCGTTGCTCATCATCGGGTGTTGCGATGAATATATGGCCAAATGGTTCCCACCATTGCTCGTGTTGTGATGGTGTAGCACATGATGGCCACCGCCATCACCGGCCCGGTTGTGGTAATCCTGTATTAAAGTCTCCGAACACATCACCCATTGATAGGTCCCATTGACTCGCAATGGTATGAGTTTCGGGAAGTGTTGTTTCAAACACTAACACAAACTTTTGTTGATAATTGTTTAGTTAATCCATACTATGTTTAAGTCTAATCATTAATTGATCACAAAATAAAAGTTTTTAAACTCCTAAACCAAATCCAAGAACTTAATCCTAAAACCAGACAATTGAGCCGTAAAATTGTAACTAGGTACAATTAAACCATAATTGCTCGGATAATAAATATAAAAATTAATTATATTAAAACGATATCGATGAAAATAGCATAGTCGAACAATTGTTTGATCATGATGATTTCGTTGATACACACTTGTGTGCGCGTATAAACATGTTTATATCACGTATACATTTTCATTTGTCGCTCACAAACATAATGGTAAAGAAGTTCTTAATTAAATATTCATGAAAAACATGAAAAACTTATCTCTCGATACCATTATTACTACACAACACAACACATCGCTTGTTATGTAAGAAGTGGAGCCGTTTTATACCTCTCTTTCGCTATGCGTTAATAATTAGCAAAACTTTTTTTCATTTTATGAAAATATTTTCGTACGACTAATCATGAGATGTGATAATCGGGTCTTTAGCCACAATCGATGGCAAACACATATACACTGTATATATAAATTGGTGGCAAAACACAACACTCACAGACATTTAATGCCAGACATCACAGGTAATGGTTGGGACGACAACACAAAGGCACAGGTATTGAGAGGGAGAGAGAGAGAGGAAGAAAAAAGTCCAGCAAAAAATATCATCTCAAACACAGGGCTCACACACTCTCCTCATATCCCAGGCATCACACACTGAGTTGGGGAGCCATCGACGGCAGAGTGGGGTACATAAGCATAGGCACAGGTATACCAGGTATGGCTTATAGCCCATCCAATAGCCAGTGTCCCGTATACTGCATACAAGTTATACTGTATAAGCGCTCGTACGTTAAGCTTGAGCTACAGGTAAGGGCAGGTAAGACTGCACCCCGTGGCTCGAGCTATGCCTGGAATGTGGGCATAGAGTTGTGTGATGTGTGGATGGGCTGGTGTTTTGGCACTCGTGTAGTACCCCATAGACCATACATACAGTAGACGTCATACACACAACATATACAAGAATATATCCAGTGGTAAGACTTGAATCGCTCGCTCATCTCTCCGGGGCTTCATTCCAGGTGCCAAATACTCGTATTACTACAGACTAAGCCCGACATTGCATACCATTGCCATTGCAAACACATACAGACATACACGAGGAACCACTCTTTCGCGCTTTCCATCACTTTTCCCATTCTCTCTCTCTCTCTCTCTCTCAATACCTGTGCCTTTGTGTTGTCGTCCCAACCATTACCTGTGATGTCTGGCATTAAATGTCTGTGAGTGTTGTGTGTTTTGCCACCAATTTATATAATACAGTGTATTCTCTCTCTCTCTCTCTCTCTCTCTCTCTCTCTCTCGTTGTTTTACATACCGGTCCTCTCCTCCGCATAATTATGCCTCACTTTTTTGTTACTCGCGTTTTAAATATATCTGCCATCGATTGCATACCGAGAATAACCCGGTGTTTAAGACTATTAGCCGTGTGTTTGCTTAGAGAGAGACTATTTGTATATATTATTATCGTTTCTTCACTACTATTCTCACTCTCTTTCAATAATAACTCAATACAAAAGTTATTTAAATAATAATAGACTACTCTTTTCCCATTTAAAACAACACTTTGTTATATAACACTATTATAATACATATAAAGTATATTATTATTATTTGAATTATGTTTTATTGTGTTTTATCTTTAAGAAAATGAGCTCAAAATTTAAGCTCAGAGTCTTATATTTCATATATTCGTTAGTAATTTGTATATTAAAATCAAATGTAGAAATAAAATATAATATTCTATCAAAAGCAGAGGTTTCTTATGGCATCAAAAATATGATACAAAAATATCTACTTTTAATGGAAATTTCAGAATAAATGGCTTTTTGTTGTTTGCATTTTCTCTTATTGTCTGGAAATTAGTTTCAATATAACTTTATTTTACCTCAAAATGTGATTTAAAACTCAAATTTATTTCCATTGATGAGAATTGAGGAGAAGTTTTATGAATTCAAAATAATGTTAGGAAAAGTAAAGTTAGTTTTAATGCATTTTTATTCACTCTTTCTTAAAAATTCACTGTATTTTAAGTGAAAAGTTTTAGTTTTTTTTTTGTAAAAATCCTTTATTTGTCTTATTTGTCCATATATTTAAAGAGTCTCTGTTTTTTACTCCCAAAATATCGCTCAAAGCAATCAATTAATAATTTCTTTTCATATATTTTCATATTTAATGTAATATTTTATTTCTCTTTTCTTTTTTGTCTTCTTTTTGATAGTATTTTTTAAAGTTTCGTAATTTAAAAATAAATATACTTTTTCTTCTCATTTTCCACTACAGTATACACTAAATGATTGTTAACTCCGAGAGAAAGAAATGTCAGTAAAAATAATAAGTTTTTAAAAATAATTTGAATTTTCAATTCATTTTCCACAGCTTTTTTGTCTTTCAATAATACATTTTTGTGTTGCTTTAAAAATAAGTAACATTTTATATAAAAATTCAAATTTGATTTCATTTTTAGGTTTGACTTTTTTGCTGTTTTTGTGTTTAAATTTATTAGTTTTGTTTGTCTGACATTTACCTCGATATTTAAATTGAAATCTCCCTCTCTCTCTCTCTCTCTCTCTCTCTCTCTCTCGCCAAAGGAGTAAATCATTTGTTAAAACTTTAAGTATTTGAGTGAAAACTTTTACTGATTATTAAACAAATCAATAAAAAGTTTAACAAAATTTTTTATGACATTTAAAATATTTGCCAACAAAACTAATCATCGTTTTGCCGGCAATTAATAGATAAATTTGTGAAATAAAAATATTTTCCGCTAAAATACTTTTTCAGTGAATAACAAACAAAAACAAAAAAATATTAGAAAATAATTATAGGATTTAAGCAGTCATTGAGAGATCGATTGCTAACCGTTTTTGTACACTATATAAGCATTTTATGAATACTAGTAAAACGATTACCACTTCTCTCTCTCTCTCTCTCTCTCTCTCTCTTTTTTTGCTTCAGTGCTCGCTATGTCAATGTCAGGCCTTTTTGTTGGCCACAGATTTTTTGTGAGCGCTTTTTTGATTCCTTCAGTCAATTCGTTCACTTTTCTCAATACAATTCATATATACTCTCAAGGAATAAATTTTTGTTGTTTTCCCATTTCATTCTCTCTCTCTCTCGCCAAAGAAGTAAATCATTTGTAATAAATTTATGCATTTATGTAACTTTATAAAAACTTTTTGCTGATTATTAAAAAGTTTAACAAAATGTTTTATGACATTAAAAATATTAGCCAACAAAACTAATCATCGTTTTGCCGGCAATTAATGGATAAATTTGTGAAATAAAAATATTTTCCGCTAAAATACTTTTTCAGTGAATAACAAACAAAAAAAAAATATTAGAAAATAATTATAGGATTTAAGCAGTCATTGAGAGATCGATTGCTAACCGTTTTTGTACACTATATAAGCATTTTATGAATACTAGTAAAACGATTACCACTTCTCTCTCTCAGCAAACACACGGCTAATAGTCTTAAACACCGGGTTATTCTCGGTATGCAATCGATGGCAGATATATTTAAAACGCGAGTAACAAAAAGTGAGGCATAATTATGCGGAGGAGAGGATTCTCTCTCTCTCTCGCTCTCTCTCTCTCTCTCTCTCCTAAATAGATATTTAATTACACATTAAATGAGACTTTAGTTCATGTTTTTTATATATCATTTGGTGTATTAAATACTGACATTAATGTCTCGATCACATCATACATACAGTGAACACATCAAACGAACGGCTGATTATTTTTTGTACACTATATCTGAAAAAATATTTTATAATTATTATAATTATTTGACGAGTTATTCACGGAATGAAAGCAATTTCATAAATACTATCTGTTTATGAGACACACCATTGAAGCGATCGTCAAAATTGCAATTTTAAATTCAATTAGAAAGTGAACGATATTTTAGTCTATAATGAATACTCTATATAATGAACACACAATTCAATATACAAATTACAAGTTTATTTTCAATTAAATCACATAATGGGACACAAAATCCGCAAATTTTAATATAAGAAATATTTTACATTTTTATATATCATATCAAAAATCTAAACGACAATTAGTTTAATCACTAAAACAAATGATTTATATCGAAAAGAACTGCATATAAATGATGACAACAAACACACTGTGAATGCAAAACGATATCTCAAAAGCCGTATTTAGCTCTGGACTGAGTCTTTGTGGTGCGATTGCGGGCCCACTCGTTCTTCAGCTCCACCTCCCGTTGTTTGGCCTGAAGTGCTAAATACGTGATTTGATGCTTGCGTTTGGCCGTCGATGACGCCTCCGGACCCTTATACGTGTTGTCCTCCTGCTCTTCGGTGATGGTCTTCAGCCAATCCTTAGAATCGCGTAAATGTTTGGACACATCCACGTCAACAATGCTGATGTCTTCGGGCGCCTCTTCGCCAAACTTGGACGCAATCAATCGCTTGTACGACATGTCCTCCAGTGAGCGCTGGTTTGCCGGCGAAGGTGTTTGTTGCACAGGGTATGGATCCGATGACACCGTCTGCGCGCTGACAGCGGGCGGCGGTTTGGGTCCGAATTCTTCTTCGTGTAACTCTGTGTCCACTAAATCACCCGTTTTTTCGCTGATATCGTTGTTGAAGAAAAAGTTGATTCCCTTCGCCTCTGGTTTAGCCACAGATGAAGTCTTTTGGTTTGCATTCTTCCGCGTTAACGATTGAGGTATAAGCGCCACAGCGGTGGCCGCTGTCAGACCCTTTGGCTTCGGTAACAGTCCCTTAAGACCAGTGCCAGTGGCGGAGCCTTTGAAGCGTTTGGCGCGCCTCTCG